ATATATATATATATATATATATGACAAGAAAAAAGATGGAATGCCAGGCTGAGGCAGGAGGATCACAAATTCAAATCCAACTTCAGCAATTTATATTTATAGAGATATACCTATATCTGTATCTATATTTATATCTCTCTATATAAATACACGTGCGTGTGTGTGCGCGCGTGCGTTGTCCTAGTTAATAATCATGGCAGCAGACTAAAGGAGATATTCTTATTCTCATTTTCACAAGAGGGAGCAGGGACTTCCAGAGGTTAAGGTATTTGGCCAGGGTGGTCATAACTGGTGATCCGATCTTTGAACCTAGATCTGTTTAAATTCAAAGCCCATGTATTCCCAAATCTTCTTTGCTGCCTCTTTCTTATACATACTCTCTCCTAGAACTTGTTCTCAGCTAAAGAAAGTATACTGACCTTCCCAGGGCAGTCTACATCCAGTGCTGGTCCATATAGGAGTATAAATGGCTAGCCCCTTGACTCATTTTGGGATGATCTTGAGCAGAATTTCATCTCTAGAGATTTTGGTATTATTGTTAAGGCCAGGACTCCCTTACAGTTCAACTCTTCCCTCTAAATATCCCTGCTTCTTCATTATGACTAGGCCCTGGGTTTCTCTGAAAAGCTCCTCCCCTCCATAAACTTCATCTCCACAAATCTCTGCTCCAGAATCTACTTCCTAAAGAAGTGACCTGCAACCCATGCGGTGTTGCAAGCACAATGTTTAATAGAAGAATAGCATGTTTCTTGGTGTGTCTCATGAAGTTTACTATCATTCCTTCGGAGAAGTTTCTGGTATCTATCATGAGTGCTAAAGTTTGTGGTAAGATGTTAATACTACTGGTTTTATTCCTCCTTCTTTACTTACAATTTTAAGCAAAATAAATTCTTACCAAGAGCAGGGTAGCACAAATGTTGTCACCTCCTTTAAATGAATATACATTGTGGAACTGTTTGCACATGACAGTATTTGTGAGCACATTTCCTCAGAAAATGAAAATGGGATTCTAGTTCAAATCATTTGACACTATCCAGAACACAAGAGTGAAAGGACTGACTCATTGCAGTTATGAGATAAACTTACATTGGTCCTTTCCTAAGTTTGATGATGTTTCATTAAAACCAGATTTCTTGGTTTATTATTATTATTTTTTTGTTATATT